AGACCCACAGGGTCCTAGAATGTACACAAACCTACCCACACAGGAATCAGCACCAGAAGGGCCCAAGTTGCTTGTGGGTAGCAGGGAAGGTGACTGAAATACAGCAGAGAGGGGAGAAAATGCCGTTGTTCCCTCTCAGACCCCTTCTTCACATACAGCATCACAACCCAGCCACTGGGTTGCCCCGCCCTGGTGAACATTTAAGGCTCTGCCCCTCATTACGTAACAGGCATGTCAAGACAAAAAAAAATGGCCCAAATGAAAGAACAGACCAAAGATCCAGAAAAAATACAACTAAGCTATGAAGAGATAGCCAACCTATCAGATGCACAGTTCAAAGCACTGGTGATCAGGATGCTCACAGAACTGGTTGAATTTGGTCACAGATTAGATGAAAAAATGAAGGCTATGCTAAGTGAAATAAAGGAAAATGTACAGGGAACCAACAGTGAAGGGAAGGAAACCAGGACTCAAATCAATGATTTGGAACAAAAAGAAGAAATAAATGTCCAATTGGAACAGAATAAAGAAACAAGAGTTCAAAAAAATGAGAAGCTTAGGAACGTCTGGGACAATTTTAAGCACTTCAATGTCTGAATCATACGGGTGCTAAAAGGAGAAGATGAAGAGCAAGAAATTGAACAGTTATTTGAAAAAATAATGAAGCAATGGGAGGGAAGTGGGGAGGGATGGGTGGGTGGGCTAGAATGGGAGTAAAAGGGAGAAAACTGTACTTGAACAATGATTAAAATAAAATAAAAAAAATAATGAAGGAAAACTTCCCCAATCTAGTGAAAGAAATAAAATTCTAGGAAGTCCAGGAAGCCCAAAGAGTCCCAAAGAAATTGGCCCCAAGGAGGAGCACACCAAGGCACATCATAATTACTTTAGCCAAGATGAAAGAGAAGGAGAGAATCTTAAAAGCAGCAAGAGAAAAGGAGACAGATACCTACCAAGGAGTTCCCATAAGACTGTCAGCTGATTTCTCAAAAGAGATCTTGCAGGCAAGAAGCGGCTGGAAAGAAGTATTCCAAATCATGAAAGGCAAGAACCTACATCCAAGATTACTCTATCCAGCAAAGCTGCCATTTAGAGTGGAAGGGCAGATAAAGTGCTTCCCAGATAAAGTCAAGATAAAGTGCTTCCCAGATGAACTCCTTTAACTTGACTTTAAAGTCAAGTTAAAGGAGTTCATCATCACCAAGCCCTTATTATAGGCAATGTTAAAGGGACTTATCTAAGAAAAAGAAGATAAAAAACATGTACAGTAAAATGACAGCAAACTCACAATTATTAATAGCCACACCTAAAACAAAAGCAAACTAAGCAAACAACTAGAACAGTTAACAGAATCGCAGAAGTGGAGATCACATGGAGGGTTAGCAACAGGGGAGTGGGAGGAGGAGAGGGGGGAAAAGGTGCAGAGAATAAGTAGCACTGGTGGTAGGTAGAAAATAGACAGAGGGAGGGTAAGAATAGTATGGGAAATGTAGAAGCTAAAGAACTTATAAGTATGACCCATGGACATGAACTAAAGTGGGGAATGTGGGTGGGAGTGTGCAGGGTGGAGGGGAGTGAAGGAGGGAAAATAGGACAACTGTAATAGCATAATCAATAAACTATATATATATATATATATATATATATATATATATATATATATATATATTTTTTAAAGATGTCCTATATTTCCTCCCCATGCCTCCAAAGGGAGGATCCTTGAAGTCAAGTAGACCAGTCAAGCTCAATCTGTTTGTTGTGAATTTCAGTTTTCACTGAGAAACATAGGAACAGAAAATACAATAGATTTATTCCACAGTGGCCCTTGAGGAGGTTGTCCTGAAGCCTGCATCCTTGAGGCCACCTGCCTTTGTCCTTTCTGAGGCCTGGTTGAGTACTATAGACTGAATTGCTGTGTGCTCCCAAAATTTATATGCTGAAACCCACTCTCCAGTGTAATGATATTTGGAGGTGAGCTCTTTGGGAGACGATTAGGTCATGAGGGCAAAACCTTCATGAATGGAATTAGCACACTTATAGAAGAGACCCCAAGAGAGCTCCTTTGCCCTTTCTATTACGTGAGGATACAGCAAGAAGATGGCTGTATGTGAACTAGGAAGTGGGCTCTCACCAGACTGAATCTGCTGGTGCTTTAATCTTGGACTTCCAGCTTCCAGAACTGTGAGAAATAAATATCTGTTGATTATAAGCCTTCTAGACTACGGTATTCTTTTATAGCAGCCTAAACTAAGACACTGACCTACCCATGACTTTCCAATAATCCCTTCTTTTGCTTTAGTTAAAACCAGAGCTGGCTTCTTTGCTTGCACCCAGAAAACTCTAACTGATACAAGTGTTGGCCCATTATTCTCAAATATTCTAAAGAACATGATTTCTTAAATGGCCATATGATTTTATTAATTTATTTGATGGATTTCATGCTGTGTTGCACTTTCATGACAATAGTATTACTACTCCCCATCAAGCTCTGCTTTGTTTCCAGTTCTGATATATTTCCTGAATGATTTACAGAGAAAAATGGTAGAACAAAGGAAACTAGAATAACTCTTATTTATAGGAAGCACAGACTATTTCTGATACTCTGGCCAGGTCCTTTCATTGGCCTCTTTTGTTCCACTGTTCATTCATTCTTTTTTTTTAAATGTATAATTCATTCTAATTGTTGAAAGGATCTTATGGGTTTTCTAGGGCAGAAATGGGAAATTGGTTTCATCTTGTCCCCTCATTTCAATTAATTGTTGGATTTAATTGAGTATTGTACTGCATGTGGACTCAGTGGGGAAGATGTGTCATAATTAATTATCCATGTTCAACATGGCCTTTGAAATCAGATTCCTGATTGACTACAACTTCCCACCAAATATTTGAAAAGTCTTTAGTCTATATAATATTGGTCTGAGATGATTTCTGCTTAAGTATATTTATTGAAACAGCTCACTTCATATTTAGATTTCTCTATTTGTTATTAAGTTTTACTCTGGTAAGGGGCTGGACTGATTTAGAAAACCTAAAGCTAACTCTCACTCTAGAGAATAACAATCACTTTGGGCTTCGGTTTTCCACTTGAGAAATAACAGAACTTAAAGTGGGTAACCACCAAGTCTCCTTTCACCTTTAAGACACTATTATTCATATGAGTCAATATTTTACCTTTCAGTGATATGTTCTGCTGGCCTCAGCTACACAACCTGGCTAACATTAGAGCCCTTCAAGTACTTGAGGACTTAGAGCCTTCTAAGATGTTTGTTCGAGGTAAAACATGACTGGTTTCTTTAGTCATTTCTTACATGATAACTTTTCTAGACTTTGCAACATTCTGGTCATTCTCTTCTACATATTGGAGTTTTCCAGTGTCGCCCTGGAAGTGTGGCTTCTAGAACTGGAATCTGGCCAGTTGTGCAGTGGCAGTGTCCCCACTACACACCTATGTGCTTTGCCTGCCCTCCTGGCAGATGAAACCCCCTGTGAGCAGTGCACAACCCAAGGGGAGGCACCCACTGAGACTTGAGGATGTACTGTATTAGAAGGCCTTTGTCAGGTTGCATGCAGAACAGATGCAGGGAGACATCAAGTCAGAGCTGGAGGAAGGTGGTACTTCCCCAAAGGCCAGTAAGTAACCAAGTACTGATGAACTTTGAACAAGTGTTACTTCTTAATAAATGTGGAAAGTAGATCTGTTAGAGATGTCATTAATGTTTGCAGCCATTGTTTTTAAACAAGGCTTTGAGTGCTCCTGTCTCTGTTGATGAAAATAATGTCTCTCTAACCTTTTTCTTTTACTAGGCTTCCTCTCCATTCTTTCTGACATCATGTCACTTGATGCCTTTGCCCCAGCAGCTCTTGTATTTGTCACAAAAGGACAGGTGCAGAGGCTCTTAAGGAAAATATAATAAAAACAAGGAAAAGCAAAAGCAGACTTTGAGAGGATTCTGTTCTGACCATGAGCCTACTGGAAATAATAGTACATGGCTGTCATGGGAGGAATCTGATACTGAAACAGATAGGGGTTGTCCTGGCCACCCTCACCCCACAAGGTCCCATGTGTTGTGGTCCCAGGCTACCACTCTGACCCCACTTCCACTCTCGCTCTCTCGTTTTTTAAATTTTTAATTTATTTATTTTAAATGAGGTAACATTGGTTAATAACATTATATAAATTTCAGGTGTACAATATTATCATTCAATATCTGTATACTCTATTGCATTCTCATCACTGAAAATCTTGTTTCCATTCATTACCTTTACCTATTTTATCCTTCCCCCATCCCCTTCCCTTCTGGTAACCACCATTCTGTTGTCTTTATCTTTGAGTTTGTTTTTGTGTTGTTTTGTTTGTTACATTTTTGTTTTAAACAAGAGGCAACCAACAGAATGGAAGAAAATATTTCAAATATTTCTGATCAAGGGTTAATATCCAAAATATATAAAGAACTCATATAACTTAACAACAAAACACCTGCAAACAACCCAGTTAAGAAATGGGCAGAGAATCTCAATAGACATTTTTCTAAGGAAGACATACAGATGACCAACAGGCATGTGAAAAGATGTTCAACAATACAAATTATTAGGAAAATGCAAATCAATATCACAATGAGATACTACCTCATACCTCTTAGAATGGCTAGTGTCAATAAGACAAGAAATAACAACTGTTGTCTATAATTTGGAGTAAAGGGAACACTTGTGCATTGTTGGTGGGATTGGAAATTGGTACAGCTACTGTGAACACAGTTTGGAGGTTCCTCAAAAAATTAAGAATAGAACTACCATATGATGCAGCAATTCCACTTCTGGGTAGTTATCTGAAGACTATGAGAGTACTAACTTACATTCCTATGTTCATTGCAGCAAGATATGGAAACAACTTAAGTATCCATTGAAAGACAAATGGAGAAAGATGTGGTACATATATAATGGGATACTAAGCCATAAAAATGATAAAATATTGCCGTTTGCAACAATATGGATGGATCTTGAGGATATTATACTGAGTGAAATAAGTCAGACAGAAAAGGACAAAGGCCATATGATGTCACCCATATGTAAAATATAAAACAAAAAAGTAAGAATCAAACAAAACAAAACAAAGCAAAACAAACTTACTATCTTGTTTTGACCCAGACACCTTGGCCTCCATTCTATATAAAAAGGTATTAAGTATAAAATGGCACCCATATCAACCACAGTATATTAACCATGCGTTGATTGTCTATAATTAACTGTAAATTATCTCTGAGGGTCATGAACTCAGATGATCTGAAAGTCTTTCAGACCAAAAATAGAAAGGCTTCCACCTTCACCTATTTCTAGATCTTTTCTTATAATAATGCTTTGGTCTTCAAGAAGCATCGAAGTCTTAAACTACATGTAGGGGATGGGACTGGGGCTGGAAGTGGATGATTCAGAGATTCACAGTTAGTTCAGAGGTCTAATGTCTTTAAAACCAGAGACCCAAGCTGGAGGCAACCTTTCTGTGCTAGTTGGTTAAGTAATCTTTCAGGGCTATCATAGCAAGGTATCACTGACTGAGTGGCTTAAGCAGTAGACATTTATTTTCTCATAGTTCTGGAGGCTGCAAGTCCAAGATCAGTGTGTCAGCTGGTTTGGTTTCTTCTGAGGCCTCACTCTTTGACTTGCAGATGGCTTCATTCTCTCTGTCCTCCCATGATATTTTTCTATGTGTATGTGTATTTCTGGTCACCAAGGACATTTGGTGTCCTTTTCTTGCCAGGACCAAACCCACAACCAAGATATATGCTCTGACCAGGAATTGAAGCCACAGCCTTTCAGTTTTTATGGGATGATGCTCCAACCAACTGAGCCCACAGGCCAGGCTGGTGTCCTTTTCTTATAAGGACACCAGGCATATTGGATTAAAGCCCCATTCCAATGAGTTAATTTAACCTTACTTATCTATTTAAAGTCTCTATACCCAAATAGTCATATTGGGGATATTGGGGATTAGAAGGGTCTCCCCTTCAGCATATGAATTTTGAGGGGACAAATAGTCCATGACAATACTTCATGAACAGTGGTAGGATATGAATGCTCTCAACAATCACTATCCCTGTGGGTCCAGGAGACTGCCCAGTGTCCTTTAGGGAATATACTCTTTGGTCCAACTTTCCCAGACCAGAGCCAGTATGTGCAACAAGGGGAGAGAGAAAGGGGAGGGTATAGATGGTCATGCCAGTGTTTTCTGTCTTCCCAATGTAACAACTGCCCAGGCTGCTTCTGGAAAGTGAGACAAAGTCTCACAGGAGGTACAAGAACCATGGTAGTTTCAAGACACCAACTATATCCCAGATTATCATGTGCCTGGGCAGTGGAGTTCCTCATGATCTTGGCATCAGTCTATCTTCTTCCTCATGGCACAAGGGGGTTTTCTGTCTCCAGAGCCACTCCATTAGCACAGGCATCCTTCTTCTTTTTTCCTGGTAAGGAGATAAGAAAGAAGGTTACCCCTCCAATGTTTGGAATCTTAGCATCCTTCACCTGGGCCAACAGCTCTGAATCCCAACTGCCCTGAACCAAGATCACCTTGGGTAAAAAACAAAAACAACAAAAAAATCCACATTTCTCCCACCCCCACCCCCCGTTTTTTCAAGACCCTGGAAAAGGAGATGCTTCAAGGATAGGAAGTTATTCCTAATGTCTAGCCTTCCTCTGAAACTATGCCATACATTTAGCTGTAAAAAGTATGGAAAATTAGAGCTGAAATGGACCCAGTTAAATGACTGGCCAGGAGCCAAATGGCACAGCCAGGACTAGCCACTGGACTCTCCCTGAAGAGCCTTGCTGTTAGCTTCTTTCTGCCCCTTCTTGGTGACCAAAGCCACTGTTTACTGAGCTTTGGAAACACTAGGCTGAGTGAAAGAAGTCAGTCATAAAGAACCACATAGTGCATTATCCAGAATAGACAGTATATAGACAGAAATTAGATTAGTGGCTGCCTAGGCCTGTATGGAAAGGAAGGATTAGGGAGTGATGGCTAAGGGGTTTGGGGATTTATTTGGGGGGTAATGAGAATGTTCTAAAATTGATTGTGGTGGTAGATACATAAATCTAAATACAATAAAAGCTACTAATCTGTATATACTTTGAATGGGTGAGTTGTATGGTATGTGAATTAGATATCAATAAAGCTGTTGAAATCAAAAGCTGCTCTTTTCCTGGCTCTACCTTCTTACCACAAATCCTAAGGACTGTCTGGGGGTAGACAGGGTCCTCGGATGGCATGTGACCTCAGCTGCTCTTCCTGCCTCCTCCAGGGAAAGAATATACAAGAGCTGGTCGTCTACCCCAGCTCCACACTGAGTAGCTGAGGTCCCATGCCTCCTTCTTGCTTACCCACTCTTTCCACCCTGGGGCCAGCAAGCCCATATATCCTGGGACACACACAGACATGAAACCTAGGCCAATGGAGTTGTTTCTTTCAGGGGCAGAGGACTCTGGGGAAAAGGCAGGACTAATGGGTATAAAGCTCAAAACCTGGCTAACCTCTGTGTTTCCCCTTCCCTCTTCTCCTTGAGAAGTAGGACCTATCATCTCCTGGGAAGAGAAGCACTTTGCTCAGGGAGCATTGCTAGGCAACAATGTGTTGGGATTCAACTAGGCCTGCACTCAACAAATTTTTATTAATATCAGCTATGTAATGGAAACCATTGCTAGGTGCCCAGTGGTGACCCAGCCTTTGCCTTTAAAGGGCTGAGAACTTAGTGGTAGAGTAAATGCAATAAGAACTGTGATTGGGGTAAGCAATGAACATTAAAGGCAGGATACTAATCCATTCTGGTGGTAGGGAAGAAGGTCAGGAAGGCTTCCTGGAACAGGCACACTTTGAAGATCATATAGGAGATAACCCAATAAAGGAGTTCAGTGGAAATCATGGAAAGTGTGTTTCAGACAAGGAAATGGAATGTACAAAGGCCTGAAGATATATGTAAGAGAATTTGAAGAACTACAAAGAAACTTCAAGTCTTATTGGAGGACAGAATAACAAGATGGAAAGGGCAAGAGATGAGGTGAGAAAGATAAGGAGGACAGGCCTTTCGAGGACAAACAGGAGGAAGTCCAAATTTTTCCCTCTTTTCTAGAAGATTCAGCACCTCCACCCACCTCTAGTACCTGCAGGACTCCCACCTGAGCAGGGGCCCCAGTGCCAAGCAGAGAGGAGACCAGCCAGGATCAGGAGCAGCGAGACAGGCACAGCCACCAGCAGCACATCTTTGTAGGAGGATTTCCCTGATGCAGGACATGAAGGGGGCAGGGTCAGAGATGGACTTGATACTTCACCACCCTACACTGACCCTTTGCCCATGGCATACCTGCCTCATGATTGCAGCTCTCCCAGGGGTTGACTACAGTTGAGTTCCAGCTGACAGGGTTGGAGACAATGCAAGAATAGGGCATACCCTTGTCTCCTGGTCCCAGTGAAACCATCAACACCTGTCCATCCATGAAGAGGCCATGTGGCTTGGTATCAAAGTCAATGGTCCCCTCCTGTTGCCATCTATAGGTTATGTCACTGATATTGGGTACCCAACAGGACAGAAATGCTTGGCAGGTCTTGGGGGGCCGAGCATCCTCAGATACAGCAATGAACACTTGTACCACAGGCCTGGGTACTGCATCTAGGCAAGAACAGTAGAGCAGGTATGGGTTATAGGGATGCTGGGCATGGACCACAGCTCTGGCTTTGGGATCCATGCAGGATTAGATGCCACCTCTGGCTAGTCTACTCTCACTCCAAAACCTTGTCTGACTTCCCACACCCACAGGACAAAAGCTGAATTCCTTAGTCTGGAATTAAAAATCATTCATAAAATGGGTGATGTAAACCTCTCCAACTATACCTTCTACTGGTCCTCGGCACCAATCCTAATTAATTTCCATTCTCTCAAACATGTCATGCTATTTCTGCTTTCATATGTCTCAGCTGTGCATGTATGCCTTTCTCTTCTTGCCCTCTTAGAAAACTCCTGGGCCTAGCTTGAACACATTGCTTGCTGCCCTGATTGTGAAGCCTTCCCTGACACTTGAGGTATGGTACTGAGCTCTCCAAGCACTCTGTCTGTTTCTTATCAGAGCACTTTTCTCATGATATAGTGGTCAGAGAGACAAAAAGCACTTATTAAGTCAGACAGAATAACATGTACACTCCTGGACTTTAGAATTTGGAAAGGACAAATACTGACAAGTGATTATGAATAATTAAGAAAATAATTTCAATGGTGAAAAATGCTGTGAAGGGGCTCTGTCTTGTTACCTCCATAACCCTCAATCTCTAGGTGCTCAGCTACCTGGGCCATTGAACAAATTGGTGTCCTGGTATCCTATGTAGTGGCTCCCATTTTCTATATAGGTTGATGAGTAATGTGTCTCCATGGCAGTGGGGTCCAGGGGGAAAGCATTTTGGTAACAATGAAAGAACTCAGTGTCTGAGAACATTCCAAAGTCATGCAGAGTAAAACTTCACTAATGCCAGCTCAATATGTTAGGATTTGTGCTATGAAAAAAAAAGTAAAATTTTGCTGGGCACACTAATAGTATAAACAAAGATCACAGGGGGAATTATTTATACAGTGATTCCAAACCTGAAGGACACAGTAGAAACACCATTGACATTTATAGTAACTAATCTGCTAATTCAAATCATTCTTTGTCTATTGTCAAAACAGAGCTCATAAGGATGTCTGACAGCTTTGTGCAATTGGTTCTAATCAAGCTATGTATTTGGAAGCAATAAAACAGCAATTTTCAGACTTCTGGCCAAGATGGAGGTGTAGGTAGATACACCATGCCTCCTTGCACAACCAAAAGAAGGACAACAAATTTAAAAACAAAAAAGAACCAGAACTGCCAGATAATCAAACTGTATGGAAGTCTGACAACCAAGGAGTTGAAGAAGAAATATTCATCCAGACCGTAGGAGGGGCAGAGATGGGCAGACAAGCAAGCAGAGAGGACTCATGGCAAGGCAGTGGCTGTCAGATCTGGCAAGGCAGCAGCTGGCGAACTGGGTGGTTCCATGTTCACGTGCAGATAAACCAGGAAGAACAGCTGGGGAGTGAGACAGACCACCCGACCCAGGGTCCCAGCATGGGGAAATGAAGCCTCAAAGCCTCTGCCTGAAAATACCTGTGGGGGTTGAGGTGGTGGGAGAAACTCCCAGCATCACAGAAGAGTTTGATGGAGAACCCCACAGGGTCTTAGAACATACATAAACCCACCCGCCCAGGAATGAGCCCCAGAAGGGCCCAATTTGATTGTGGGTAGTGGGGGAAGTGACTGAAAACTGGCATAGAGCAGAGCAAGCATCATTGTTCTTTGTGGGACTCTTCCCCCACATACATCATCAGCAACTTGGGTTGCCTCACCCTGGTGAACACCTAAGGCTCCCTTCTTACTATGTAACAGGTGCACCAAGACAAATGAAAAAGCAGATCAAAGCTCCAGAAAAAATATAACTAAGTGATGAAGAAATAGCCAACCTATCAGATGCACAGTTCAAAGCACTGGTGATCAGATGCTCACAGAATTGGTTGAATAGGTTGCAAGTTAGAGGAAAAAATGAAGGCTATGCTAAGTGAAATAAAGGAAAATGTACTGGACCAACAGTGACAGGAAGGAAACTGGGACTCAAATCAATGGTGTGGACCAGAAGGAAGAAATAGACATTCAACCAGAACGGAATGAAGAAACAAATAAAAAAAATGAGGAGAGGCTTAGGGACCTCTGGGACAACTTTAAATGTTCCAACATCCAAATCATAGAGGTGCCAGAAGGAGAAGAGGAAGAACAAGAAATGGAAAACTTATTTGAACAAATAATGAAGGAGAACTTCCCCAATCTGGCAAAGGAAATAGACTTCCAGGAAGTCCAGGAAGCTCAAAGAGCCCCAAAGAAGTTGGACCCAAGGAGGAACACACCAAGGCACATCATAATTACATTAGCCAAGATGAAAGAGAAGGAGAGAGTCTTAAAAGTAGCAAGAGAAAAGGAGACAGTTACCTACAAAGGAGTTCCCATCAGACTGTCAGCTGATTTCTCAAAAGACCATACAGGCAAGAAGGGGCTGGCAAGAAGTATTCCAAGTCATGAAAGGCAAGGACCTACATCCAAGATTACTCTGTCCACTAAAGCTTTCATTTAGAATGGAAGGGCAGATAAAGTGCTTCTCAGATAAGGTCAAGTTAAAGGAGTTCATCATCACCAAGCCCTTATTATATGGAATGTTGAAGGTATTTATCTAAGAAAAAGAAGACCAAAACTATGAACAGTAAAATGACAACAAATTCACAACTATCAACAACTGAACATGAAAAACAACAAAGACAAACTAAGCAAAGACAAAAACAACAAAGACAACTAGAACAGGAACAGAATCACAGAAATGGAGATCACATGGAGGGAGTGGGAGGGGGAGAGGGGGGAAAAGGTACCGAGAATAAGTAGCATAAATGGTAGGTAGAAAATAGACAAGGGGATGTTAAGAGTAATATAGGAAATGTAGAAGTAAAAAAACTTAAATGTATGACCCATGGTCATGAACTAAAGCAGGGGATGCAGGTGGGAGGGGGTGTGCAGGGTGGAGGGGAATAAAGGGGGGGGTAATGGGACAACTGTAATAGCATAATAAAATACGTTAAAAAAGCCAAAAATAGCAGTTTCCTTAAATTTATAATTCAAATGCCCAGAACAAAGTATTTTAGAGCTTAGTGGTATGGGTACTGCATGTATTATTACATTATATGTCCTCATTTGACATGTGCAGCAGCTGAGACTCAAACAAAGAAGGAGCTCCAGGGCTGCCTGTATGGTTGTATAGGTTATTCATTGCACAAGATCATTGGGTAAGGGGGTAACAGGTGAAGGTGGTGGTTCTGAGATCTAGGCAACACTCTGCTTGCCAAGCTTTACACCTGGTTCAAGGATGCATGCATCCAGAAGGACACCCATCTAGTTGCATATCAGCACTCTGAGGGCATATGCAAGCCAGTTAGCTCCCTCAGGGTAGGGGATATTTCTCTCCTCCTAATTTGCGACTGCCTTTCTTTCCCTCATTGTTTTTCTTATCCTAGCTGTCAACTTTACTCTCCATTCTTAAATTTGGACCTTTTCATCCCCTTTACCAAGTTTTGGAGGTTTTACTGAAATTGTATTTTGAGGTCACTCACATAATTTCCAAGCCATTAGATAGATAAATGAAAGCCAGAAGACAATTTTTTTCTCTTGACTAGCAGAAATATAGTAGAGGTGGAGGTGATGGTGGGAGTAGGAGACAGAGGTGGAGGTGAGAGTGGAGGTAGTAGAGGTGGAGGTAGTGGTAGTGATAGTGTTAAAGGAGGTGGTGGTGGTAGAGTTGGGGGTAGTGATGGCAGTAGAGGTTGTGGTAGATATAGTTGTGATGGAGATGGATGTAAAGTTGCTGGAAAGAAAGACCCTTAGGCCCCCAGTGAATTCAGCCATGGAGCTGAGGTGCTGATTGCACCTGCATGAATGACCTTGGCAAAACCATGTGGAGCAGAGGTCTGCCTGTCTGAGCCAGGCTAACCCACAGAATTATAAGTAAAATAGCTGTTTTTAGCCATTTGTTTTGCTACAATGAATAACTGAAAGAACCCATGAATGTTATATAGTTAAAAATCTCTAGGTATATCTGAAAGAACTCTTTTAAAAAATATAAAATAAAAATTCTGTACTTTTAACTACTGTTGAATTATAATTTAATTTTTAATAAAAATATTGTGTCAATTTAATTGGTAGTATTTTTCCTTTTTAGTGGTATATGAAATAATGGCACATCATAATCTGATACCTCCAATCTGATGAAATATAAGTCAACTTCTGTCCTAGATGGTATTCAAGCACCATTGTATATCACTGTTATGAACATCTATGTGATAATATTATCATGATACCCACATTACTAATGAGAAGGCTGACATCAGAGCTAAGCATTGTGTTCAAGGCCACTTAACTGAGAAAATACCAAGTTGGAATTCAGACAAGGACTGTAGTGGGCAGGCCTGGGTTGCTCCAGATAGGAGCTCACCTGGAAGAACTTGAGGATTTTCCTAGATGTGGCTGCAGGAGAGTAGTTGGTCTCTGAATCAGCCACAAAGTCAGAGGCCCAAGGTTTCCGGAATCCAGTCCTCCAGCTCCCAGGACTCAGGATGCCTTTCCAGGTCTTTGTGGAGGGAGGCAGGGCAGAGATCCAGTGTCAAGCACACTCACCATATACCTTGAGCTGCAGGATCTGGGTCCAGGTTCGACCTCCAGTGTCCACTAGCAACACAGAGAAGTTGCCGCTATCTCCAGACTCCAGTGGTCGGAGCTCCAGGCTCAGGTTGCTGTGCATCTGGGTTCGACCCAGGAAGCGGGAGTGGTACAGAGTCTCTAGGGAACCTTGGAAAGATGTGGCCAGGAGCTCCTCTGAAGGCCAGAGAGATCTCCAGATGGCCTCTCGAACTTGGAAGCCAGGGTGGTGCTCTGCCATCAGCAGCACAGAGCCCCCGACCTGGCCCTGGACTTGGGCACCAGTAACTGCAACAGGAAATGCTGCTGCAAGAAGAGAGCCATGTCACTGCCTGCCCCAAGCTCATATCTCTCCTGCATGTAGCCAGGAGGAAATTAGGGCCCCTCTCCCCATACTGCTTCCACCCATATTGAGAATGTACTGTGCCAGGGGCTGGGAATAAAACAATAAAAAAGAGAATTTGGTACCTGTGCTCACGGAACTCACAGAGGAAGCCAGATTCTTAAGAAAGCAGTTAAAATATACTAAGTTAAGTGCCATAATGGAAAAAAAGGGAGTGCTCTGGGAGAACACAGGCAGCGTGATAATGCGACCTTACCTGACCTTGAAGAGTTTAGAGAAGAAACGGTTAAGCTGAGACCCAAAGAAGAAATGGAACTAGCCAAGCCAAGCAGAGGGCTGCCTGGAGTGGGGATGGGAAATGTTACAGGAAAAGGGAACTGTATGTACGAAGGCCTAGAGGGTGAGAGAGCATAGTGCACAGGGAACTGAAAGTAGTTCTCTGCAGGGGGAGTAAGAAATTGCACTGCAGAATTGGAGGGAGCTAGTTCATGGAGGGCCTGGAAAGTGACATTGGCATTTGGGCTTTATCCTTAGAGCAATGAGGGCTCTAGACTAGGTTTTAAGTAAGAGAGTAACAGGATTAGATGCATGTTAGAAAGATCACTCCAGCAGAAGGGCAAAGGATGCACTGTAGGTGGGGCAAGACAGAGGCTGCTTTTATTAATCCAAAGGTGGGTGATGGAAACTTGTACTGAGGGGGAGCAACTGAGATGGGTAGAGATGGCAGGACTTGAGAGAGATAAAAATGCATAATCAGTGAGATCTGGTAACAGATTGGATCTGAGGAATGAAGGAGAAAGAAGTCAAGGATGGCTCCCAGGTCCTTGGGGCCCACAGGTGTCATTCTCTGTGATCCAGAACAGGAGGAGAGACAGAATGGGGGGACAGGGAAGTGGCAGGATGCTGAGTGTTGCTGGGAACATATTGAGTTTGAGGTATGTGGGTGATGCCTCTGCTTAAAGTGCCCCCTGCCTCCTTCACTGGCTAATTTCTGTTCATTCTTTTTCTTTTTAATACATTTTACTGGTTATGCTATTACAGTTGTCCCATTTCTCTTCTTCATTCCCCTTCACCCTGCACACCCTCTCCCACCCACATTCCCCCCTTCAGTTCATGTCCATGTGTCATACTTATAAGTTCCTTAGCTTCTACATTTCCCATACTATTCTTGCCCTCCCCCTGTCTATTTTCTACCTACCATCTATGCTACTTATTCTCCATACCTTTTCCCCCTCTTTCCCCATCCCACTCCCCTATTGCTAACCCTCCACATGATCTCCATTTCTGTGGTTCTGCTCTTGTTCTAGTTGTTTGATTAGTTTGTTTTTGTTTTTGTTTTAGGCGTGGTTGTTAATAATTGTGAGTTTGCTGTCATTTCACTATACATGTTTTTTATCTTCTTTTTCTTAGATAAGTCACTTTAACATTTCCTATAATAAGGACTTGGTGATGGTGAACTCCTTTAACTTGACCTTATCTGAGAAGCACTTTATCTGCCCTTCCATTCTAAATGAAAGCTTTGCTGGACAGAGCAATCTTGGATGCAGGTCCTTGCCTTTCATGACTTGGAATACTTCTTGCCAGTCCCTTCTTGCCTGTAAAGCCTCTTTTGAGAAATCAGCTGATAGTCTAGTGGGAACTCTTGGTAGGTAACTCTCTCCTTTCCTGTTGCTGCTTCTAGGATTCTCTCCTTCATTTTTACCTTGGCTAATGTAATTATGATGTGCCTTGGTGTGTTTCTCCTTGGGTCCAACTTCTTTGGGGTTCTTTGAGCTTCCTGGACTTCCTGGAAGTCTATTTCCTTTGCCAGATTGGGGAAGTTCTCTTTTATTATTTGTTCAAATAAGTTTTCAGTTTGTTGCTCTTCCTCTTCTCCTTCTGGTCCCCCTATAATTCAGATGTTGGAACGTTTAAAGATGTCCTGGAGGTTCCTAAGCCTCTCCTTATTTTTTGAATTCTTATTTCTTCATTCTTTTCTGATTGTATGTTTTTCTTCCATTTGGTCCACTTCATTGATGTGAGACCCAGCTTTCTTTCCATCACTATTGGTTCCCTATGCATTTTTCTTCATTTCACTTATTGTAGCCTTCATTTTTTTCATCTAATTTGTGACCAAAATCAACCAATTCTGTGAGCATACTGATCACCAGTGCTTTGAACTGTGCATCTGATAGGTTGGCTACCTCTCAGTCACTTAAAAGTATTGGTCTTTAAGCTTTCACTTCTGTTTGAGCCATCTCCACCCCCCCCCCTTTGGTTTGGTCGCACCTGTTACGTATGAGGGGTGGAGCCTTAGGTCTTTACTAGGGCAGGGCACTCCAGTCGCTGGGTTGTGATGTGTATGTGGGGGCAGGGTCTGAGAGGGAATAATGGCACTTGTTCCGCTCTCCCTCAGACCTCAGTCCCTTCCACCGTTTCCCCCAAGCAAATTGGGCCCCTCTGGTGCCAATTCCTGTGTGGGTGGGCTTGTGTACCCTGTGGGAATTTCCAACGAACTCTCCTGTGAGGCTGGGAGTCTCCGTGCACCTCAACCCCCACAGGTGTTTTCAATCAGTGCCCCAAGGCTCTATTTCCCAGCACTGTGATCCTGGGTTGAGAGTAGTGCCTCACTGGGTCTGCCAGTTGCCACCCCTTGGCTGGGGTCTGCCAGCTGCTGCTTGCATGCTCAGGGTCCGCCTGCTGTGGTCTTGCGAGCCCCGGATGCCTTGTGTGCCCTGGATGTCTTACATGGCCAGTCCCAATGCTCTCTTCTCTCCACGCCGCGACCCACGCCTGGCTGCCCGACTCCGCCCCTCCTACTGGTCTGGATGAACATGTCAATTTTAACTTCTTGGTGGTCCGACTTCCATACAGTTCAATTTTGTGTCAGTTCTGGTTGTTATTCTGTTTTTAAATTGTTGTTGTCCCTATCTTGGTTGTGCGAGGAGGCACGGTGTGTCTACCTATGCCTCCATCTTGGATGGAAGTCCTAATTTCTGCTCATTTTTGAAGCATCAAGTTTCCCTGATCTCCCCCTTCTATCTCTGCATATTATACACTTGTTCTCTATGCTCTCTCAGAGGCCTGGGATACTAGCTATGAACTGGCCTTATCATCTATTTATGAGTCAGTGTCTCCCACTGACCTGTGAGTTCCTCTTTTCATCTTTGCACTCCCAGTGCCCATCACTCTTTGGGAGGAGGATATAGAAGCTCAGTAAATTTCTCTGAGTAAATGGCAAAATTTGCTGATTTATCTTGTATCTAGCACAGTGGTGGGTGCAGAGGTACAGAGCAGAATACAAGCAGACATGGGACATACCCAAGTGCTGGGAGTTTGGTTATGGAAATATGTTCTGGGTGGTCACTCAGCCAGCCACTGGTAACTCTAGTCCCTTGCCCACCTCACTGCCCTCCCTGGCCCAAATAATTTCAGGCTTGATTGGAGGTGACTTCAGGGTAAAGGCAGAGTGGAGACATAACATAGAGAAGAAATAACACTGGGTATCAGTCAAGACTTTTAGTTCTATCCTATCCTGCTCTGCCCAAGAACTCTGTGACCAACTATCACCCTCCTTTCTGGGCTTCCATTGTTCCTCCTGTAAAACAAGAGGGTGCACCAAATCAGTTGCACTCATCTCGTTTACCATTAAGAGCCTTTTGGAAAAATTATTTTTGCCTTTTGTGGTCACAAATTTGAAAGATTTTTGAACCAAACAGATTTCTGTTTTTTGAAGCATTTCCTTCACAATGTTTAGAAATGTTGAAATCATCAGAGCCTTTAAAGCCTTCAAGGTCAGGCACTCAGGAGGGACACTGGGCAAAGTCATCTCAAAGTCACTCTGAGTCTGATGTAAACAAAGTTGTCTTTGTCTTTGCCACTTCCCAAAACCCCTATCCCCTGGCCTTGCAGTGCTGACCCATGTCACAATGAGTACTTCTTAACCAAGGAAGGCAAGTCAGGCACCAGACAGAATGGAGGGATTGCCCCATGCTGAAGAGATCCAATAAGTAAGCATTTCATCACAGCATTATTGGCCATTTCAGGTCCACATATCCTACATTAAACTTGCTCTCACCTCTCATCCCTACTCAGTATCTACCTTCCTCTACACAGACCTCAGAAAGGGCCTCAGGTTTTCCACAGGCTGTTGGAAAAACATCCTCAGAGTAGAAAGAGTCCTGCTCTGCCTTGGCTTCCATTGCTCTCCCCAGACTGTGTTTAGAATTCTCATGTGGTAACACTGCCAGACCCTTACCATTCCTAAAGCCATCTCTTTCCAAACCACTGGTACCACCAGCCTCAGTTTTAACTGCCCTGGGCCACAAAACAGCTTGAGTCTCCTGCACATGGATTCTTCCAGTGCTGCTGCCTCTTTCCACCCAGGACTCCACATCTCTTTGCCTCTGCCTAGTTTTCAAGTTTCCCCCAAAGCTTGCTCCTGGGCTCTTACTTTGGATGGGGGGCCCTACCCAGACATCTGGTGAGGGTTAGCTGGATGGGTCAGTTCTTTGAGGTCAGGCCACTCACCTGCCCTGCTTACCTGCCCAGAGAAGCAGACTCCACAGGGACCACACAGCCATCCTTCTCCAGAGAGGCAGACAAACTCCCTTAACAACCAAAATCCAGAACACTCTAAGTCAAGGGGATGTGCGGAAGGGGCTGTAGTCCTTCTGGAAAGTCCCATGTTTAGAAGGAGGAATCTTGACTCATAACAAGATGCCCTGAAACTGAAATATCCAGAAGAAAGTGGAAGTTGGTTTCAGGCCTTGTTGGATTCTTTCAAGAGCATTTCTTGTAAATCATCCCTCTCACATGCTTTTGGTTGCCCATGCAATTATAAGCCACAAGCACCACCACACAAGCCCACATCCTATCATCAGACTCTCTCTCTCTTTCTGTCTCTTTCTTTCTCTTCTCTTCCTTCCTCTCTCCTTCTTTCCCTCCCTCCAGAACTCCCTGCATTTTACCCTGCCCTGAATTTCTGGTTGCAGCCTCAGAGAGCTCTAAACTGCAATTTCCATGGTCACTTCTCCTCTGCTTAAAATTCCTCCATGGCTTTCTGTTACCCTTAAGACAAAGACTATACTCTTGGCTTAGCATACAAGGCTCTACTAAGTCCCACTCCAGCCTTCTTTTTTCAGGCTGGTCTCCCATGTCCATTCTATTCTGTAGCCACACCAAGCCAGAATAGCTTCTTCTTACAACTACAAATTGCACACTTCTAACATGTACTTGTTCCTCCACCAGGCATGCTGATCCATTTATCCTTCTGGATTTGATGTGGTCATGCAGCCAACCAGGCACCTATTCAAGACTTCACACCACAGGCAGAGTGAGGGACTTCCTCTTCTCAGCACATTGTTTTGTAATAATTTTCTGTCTCCACAGACTGCTGGCAAGGTTTTCAATTCATTTCTGTGCTCTCCTTGGTCTTGGTGCATCATGGATATTTAATAAACATTTGTTAAATGAGTGCATAAATTCCAGATATGGTTGTACGTTTTGTTTCCTGGAATTTTACAACTCTTCTCCAAGGAGATCTTGTTATTGCCCTGTTAGAAATGGGAAATTTGAAAACCAGAGATATCACTTTATGGAGGTCACACTGTGGCAGAGCTGGGACTTGAACTTCAACCTTCAAAGTCTGGTCCATTTTGCTGGTAACGATCTATTCACAGTATTTCTCTTTTCACTTTGAGTTACTTGGTTTCTTAAGTCAGGTAAGCTTTGCAAGAATATGAGAAAATTTCCTGAGTGTCCCTAACATGGCTTGCAGTGTCCAGTTCTGTACAGCTTTTGGCCTGCCTTCAAACTGGATGCTCTATTTTGGACTCAACTGGGAACCAAGCAGATGGGTGATGGGTGAGCAGGAGGATTCTAGGATGAGGTTCCTGCCCTCCAGGGACTCACACTCACATTGTGGGAACCAGATCCATCTGGGAAGTGAAGGCCCATGGCAGAGGGTCATGGGTCTGTGCTGATGGCAACACAGGCTGTCTGTGTTGCTGGAGGGTGCAAGGAATGGATCTGTATGGATGTGGGCAGGAGACACTTCCTTAAAAGAACTGCACTTTGAGGATGGGCATGATTTGGATAGGCTGAGAAAATGGTTGGGGTTGTGTTCTGAGGATGAGAGGAGATATGAGTGTGTAAAGCTTGGCAGTGGGAAGGCCCAAGTGAGCTGCAGGGACAATTAAAGACCTTGGGGAGGACTCCTTTAGGTCTGAAGTGGAAGAATGGAGAGGGTGGTTGGGAGTCAAGATTCTAGAGGCCTTGAATACTGGGTTAAGTATTAGGATTTTTTTTTTCTGGAGACCAGTGGCTCTCAACCTTGAGGAATACTTGGATTCTCAGAGATTCTAGTTTAGTGGGGCTGGGAGGGGTCCCAGAAACAAGCTCTCTACTCCAGGTGATTCTGAAGCTGGTGGGGCCAAGGGAAACTCTGAGCAGCACTGCTTGGAGGGAGGAGGTAGTTGCCCATTTTAAGCTGGGGCTCACTGGCTGGTGGGAAGATAGCTTGCACCTGTTTGAGGGAGAGAGACGAGTCAGAGAAGCCTGGGGAGCAGCTGTTGTGATGGTTCTGACTGAGGTAGAAAGGAAATCTCTGGAGAGAAAGGGACAGAGTAGGAGTTCTGATAGAAGCCACCTGGCTCTGGGGCAGAGAGGAAAACAGAAGGCAAACATGATAACTCTGTTGCCATGATGACTCCATCACTCATATGTCAGATATTTATTGAGCATCTACTTATGAGTCAGGTGCTGGAGAAACACAGAAAAGGCATAACCTCTGCCCTTAAGGAGTCTGCAGTTTTGATGAGAAGACAGGATATGCAACCCAGTAATCATAATCAGCGAGGCAATAGCAGCACATATGAGGGTACAGAGTGGGTCTGGTGCATAGTCCACACTCAAACAATATTAACTATTGCTACTAAATGGTCAGAGAGAGGGAAGAGAGGGGAGCTGGGTAGATGCAGGTAAAGCCATTTGAGGTGTGAGCAGCCCCTGCTCCTACTCTCTCCTCCCAGGCTTGGAGCTCTGTGAGGCAGGGATCAGGCCTCCATTCCTGTCCTCTTATATCACCAGGGACAGGATTACCCAAGAGTGTGTTGAAGTGGGACAAATGAATCTGAAGTGTCAGGCCCTGGACTAGGAGGCTGTGGAAATGCTGGAAATACAGATGTTTCGTTGCTTGGTGGGCGATAGTGGGCAGTCACACTACCTCCTTGCACAACTGTATGGAGTGGTCCATTGGTGCAGGAAATGGACCTCAATCTTTCCTTCCCTTTTCCTTAAGGGGAATTTCAGGGAAGCTGAGGAACAGGGAGGAGGAGGTCAGGGAGAATTAGAGAATATCCCACCTTCCCAAAGGGAAAAACTTCAGAGTGTATGACAATGGACAACAGAGAAAATGGACCAAGGAAGGTGCAAGAAGGGTTAAGTCTGTGGTGGTAGATTTCCCCCCACTGCTAATCACTGGTTCAGACTACAGTAATTACCCAGCTGGTGGCGGCGGTGTGTGTGGGGGGGTGGTTTTGCACTTGAGTAAATTAGCTGGTGAGTTCAAAGGAGCCTCTCCCACATTTTTAATTAAGAGAGCAGCTTGCAGTGGGGTTGCTTCCCAGGTTCCTGGAGGCCCTTTTGGAAGTCTGGACAGGTACAGTAGCTCCATCTGCCATACCAAAAGGTCCAAGCACCATTAGCCCACTTTTGCTTGGGGCTGGAGTGGAGAGCAGGTGTTAACTGTGGCAAAAGAGCTGCCTGAGCCCATATGAACCACTAGAGCTGTTTGGTGCAGAGATTTAGAGCTGGACGGAATTTGGGTGGGTGTGAAAATTGTGCCATGTGCATGTGATGCCCTATCTCTGCCCACTCACACTTGCTCTCTCCTTGGACTGGCCTGATGGCAGAATGGGGCCAGGTTTCTCCCAGGGGGAGAGATAATGAAGGGACAAAAATATGGGATGTTTGAGGAAAAAAGAGAGTGGGCAGGGAAGGAGGCAGAGGCAGAGCCCTAGGCGGAAAGGAGGGTCACTTAGCAGGCTTTTTAAGAGCCAAGGATGAGGGAAGAGGGCAGAATGAGTGAGCCTCTAGGCACCACTTCAAGACAGTGTTAAATGATGGACGCTGAGAGCGCAGGAAGGACCCCACCTAAGCCCTGTTTTACTGACCGCCTTCACCTATACGGTTCCCATAGAGTGGGCCAGCTACTTGCATGATCTGCCAGCTCTTACCATGCCACCAGGGACTGGCCAATCCCAAAGCTTGCTGCCCTTGGTGGGGAGCTCAAGTGCACCCCCATCCCTTGCTAGCCAGCATAGGCAGCAGTGCTGTGAGGTGGCAGGAAGACTGGGTTTGAGGCAGTGTCTGCCTGTGTGGGTTGGCACTCTTACACATACATTGTTCTCTTATACATACATGGCCCTGAAGATGATGCCTCCTTAAATTTTGTGCCTAAGGTGCCTCTCTTGCCTCATTCTCTCCCTGGCCCTGTTGGGTATAGATAGAGGAGATAAAATCTTTGATGTACCAGTGGCTTGAAGCATATAACTGGGGAGAAAGAAACTAAGGAGAGAAGAGACAGTGAGCTCAGTGAAATAGCCCATAGGACTCTGGTTTTCAGGCAAAGGCACCTTCCCAGAGAGTTGAAGGAAGGCTACATAAAATAGAAACAAAGCCAGGATTGTGCTTTATAGAGAGGGGAGAGCTGGACACTCATTCATTCCATCACTAACTCACCAGACATTTGCTGGCTTCCCATCTTGTGCACACTAATGCTTTAAAAATTTATAGAGCATCTTGCATGTATAAGCCCTGTGAGGGCAGGAGCTCAGAGTGGTGATGACAGTGATCATGATACTGACAATAAAAGTAATTGTCACTGTTGATCTGTAACTCACATGGGAAAGAATTCTGGAAACCAATATAAGACTGTTTTTTCAAAGGGCTTAGGAGAAGGATCCGTCTGAGCAAAGGCACAGCAAGTGATGGCTGCTGAACAAGCAGACTTGCTGACAAACAGTACCTTCTTCCAGCAGTGCTGAAGGAGATAGGAACATGTGTGCACAAAGTTTTCCAATATTGTAAGAAAAATCCGGGTTTTTTTCCCATCATGTGAATCTTGTCTATAGTTACTATCATCATAGTAGATACAAAGATGAAGGACACAGAACTGTTTAGTAGATGCTCATTTAAATAAAAATGTAGAAGGTCCTATTTCTTAGCCAAATCTAAAATAAAAATCTGGAAATGAAAGAAATCCAATATGTGAAATCTGCCCAGTTAGGAAAAGAGACATGTTCCATTTTTATTGTTTGCATCTAAATTGTATAGCCATATACAAGACAAGGATGAGTATCAATGATATCTTAGAATGAAGTTTTCCAATGAATGGAGTGGACCACAGTGCAGCTTGGTATGTTAGGCCCTTGACTACCCAAAATGGGCACCAGAGAGCAGCCACCAGCTAGAAGTCCTAGCTGCCCTGTTTCTCACTTAACCACAGGCCTAAGCTGCCTCTCATTTCTCAACCCAGTTATGGAGTTCTTTCCTCTCTTCTTATCCTGTAGGTGATGTGACCCTATAGAACCCAGGTTCCTAGAGGAGACAAAGCCAAGTTACTCCTGCTGAAAAAGAG